AATCAGTTCGGGTCATTAACAGGTTCACTTCATTTTTGGCACATTGTCTATTAAGAAATATGTATTTAGTTTTATGTTCATGCCTGAAATGTTTATAACTCCTAGTTGTTTGATTCAGTTTGTCAGTCAATGGTTAAGGAGTGGTGAATCTTATTTTGCTCTACTTTCAGTTCCTCATTTCTTTTAATAAAGAGCAATAGGTGTGTTACATTTTTGAATTGATTCAAGGTGTTACCTCAGTAGAAACCACCCAAAACTGATTAAGATATCAATCAAACAAAGATTGTTTAGTACTAAAATATTGATAAACACTAATTTTCCTAATCCATGTTTATTAAATGTCATGAGCTTCAATATTCATCTTCATAATGTCAAGTTATTACAAACTTCACATATCTTGACTTCAATAGTTACCTTTTTTGTATCATGATGTTTGTAAATGATGCGATTTGATTTGATTGTAAGTAGTGAATACAGCCAATCAGAGGTTTGAACAGAATGTCTCTGAACACAAAGCAATAATGATTACAGGCTTTCTGTAGAGGGATCTGATTGGCTGTAATCACTGACATACAATCCAATCAAATTGCTGCACTCAATGATCCCTGACTACGTGATACTCATATTGCAGTCAAGATTGAATGCGAAGTTTGTGATAGATTGACATTGTGATGTCCCTCTAGAAATTACATTCGCCACTATTTTATTGTTTTTATATAAAATATGGAGCAAAACCTGAACATGGCCCTGTTTTTTTTGGAGTAAATGTAGGTATGTTTCATAGTTTAAGATGGCAATTGTTCATTGTCAATTGTGAATCTTGTTCACACCATTGTTTATTCTTTTACATTATATATATAATATATACCTTATATCATTGTTAGTAAAGTAATAAATATTGAACTGGAAGTCCTATACAGAAGTTAGATGTTTTATCTTTTGTCTCACCATCTTAAAATTGCAGTTTTCAATAACTCTATTTCTTTCTACTTTAAATCACTCTAGAAAATCATCAATTTTGAAAATTTCCCATTTCAACTAGAGGAAGTGGAAATTCCAAATATAGAGAAATATTTGTGCTTGTTTTTTAGCCAGTTTTGGTAGTAAAATATTAAATTATGAGACAATTAAAGCCATAAATAAACTGATTTCAATGGAATAAAAGGGAGATAATTTTGATCACAATTGTGTGAGAAAGTAACAATATGTATATATTAAAGATGTTGGTATGAGAAGATATCAAGATGTTCTCTATTTAATACCATTCTGTCTCTGATAAGAGTAGAATAATCATTATTTAATAATAATTTAAGATTTATTCTTATCATCTGATCCATTAATATTATTTATTACACCAGGTCATGGACAGTTGACAGTTGTTGACAATATTGCTTATTGTTTATCAAGATATATAGCTATACAGAAATAAAACCAGTAGATTTCAGGTTGTCTGTAAAGTCTACTAAAGGGCAATATCTTATAGAATAAAAAAATCTTGGTTATTCTTAATAAACAGCCAAAAGTGTTGAATTTACCTTATTTTTTTAAATCTGTGGGAAACCTCCTTTAAAGAAGAGATTGAATCCATTGAAAACTCTAGTCAATACAGTATATGATTATACTAGTATATGATGTTGATATATACCTATTTACTAAAATTACTATACAAGTGAAGTTGTTGAAATAAAACCACCTTGTGAAATGTTAAAAGCCATATTTCTCAGAGAATATTAGTAAAATATTGACTGTATATTTATCAAGATTTAGAAAAACTTATCAAAACATCTCAAGTTCATTTTTACAGTTATAATGAATGATTTTTCAATGATATTCATTACTTTCAGATTATTATATTTTTACAAATCCCAGTTTAAATGGTTGACTTTACTTGCCTTTTTCAAGGATTTTTATTTGATGAATGAATACTTAAAACCTTCTTTTTTTTTTTCATAAAATAGGAGCTTATGAAGCAAAGTGAGGACACATTGATACATGAAGAGATTGATATATTTTCTACTTTATAATTTATTGCCTACAGGTGTTGATGGGTCTGTTTAAACCAAACATGTTAAAGGGTTGTAAATTTCAAGGGTTGTTTGCTTTTCCCTATTCTTGTCTCTTCATGTATTCACATGTTGATTTACCTTATAACCAATTATAATACATTTGAGATTTACAGGACATAGTAAGACCAGTATGTCAGCATTTGATGTTTCGCAGACATAGAAATAAGACCAAATGAAAATACTTGGCAACTCTAGCTAATTTATGACCAACTTTGAAAATTTAGCTACCTAATCTACAAGAAAACCAATCTTGTTGTGGGTGTATTTCTTGATGTGTTTTGGGCCAGATCCCCTTTAATGACAAGTGACAATAACAAATTATTTTGAATCAAGAATGAATGATAAATCATATATTTTTAACCAATTCTTATTCCCTGTATTTCAAATAATTGGTGTAAACATTTGGGCATTATTTTATCATGTACTTGTTAAAATGAAGCAGTCTATTTTGAAATAGATCAGTATCTTGTTGAAAACTCATTTACAATTTAACACCCTCACATTTTCTGTTTCTAGAAGTGTTTGAATAGATACGTTCAAATATAAATGCAAATTTCTCCTTTAGCTTTTAACTGATTTGATGATTAAAATGAAAATTGAGCATTTCGCAATGATCAGATGTCAATGCTTATATATTGATAACTGATATAGTTATATATGTTACCATGACCCTGCATGGAAATGCTTGGACCATTGCTCATAAATTGTTAATGCCTAGTTCACACCAACGGCGAATGCCGCGTTTTAAATCGGCGAGCAAAGCGCCATCATTTTTTGTTTACTTTTCCAAAAATATCACTATCTCCTAAGTATTGTTACGCTCTGATAAGCTCTGATACGAATTGGCTACGCTTTGGGGACGAATTATTTCCCGATTTGATGCGGTTATGATGCTTTAAATCACGCTCTGATACGATTATCAAGCTCTGTTGTGCATTGTTAAGCTCTGTTACGCATTGGAAAATTTCGAAATGGCCGATTTCATGCCGCTTTTGATCAAGTGGTGACAGACCGTGAAGACTGGGGTCCCCGCTTTGAATAAAGCTCTGTTAAGCTTTCCTACGCTTTGAGTCAAACTTTGCTGAACTTTGTTACACTTAGTTAAACTTTGATACGTTCTCGGCGCTTTAATCAATTCGTGACAGAGCGCCCAAAATTTTTAAACAGTTTAAAATTTTTTGGCGCTCTTGCCGAATATCCAGCTTTGCTCAAAGCTTTCGAACGATCTATTACGACCCTGGCGCTTTTGTCGAGCTTTGTTACGCTTTGGTACCACTTTGTGCGCCGATTTAAAGCGCCATCAAAGCGCCGTTGGTGTGAACTGAGCATAATGTAAAAAAGTACCATGTTGATGGTAGAGGTTTTATTATGATTTGTTACTATGTCAAATTTATAACAAGGCTGTCAAATCCTTGTAAAGATAGAAGAAGTGTTGTAAACAAGTGTTAAAACTGGTCCTACAGCCACTTCAGCTAATATTATTAATATATTTTATTATTTATTATCAAGTCTTAGTTTGTTATAACATCACAAACCTGTTTTATTATACAATGTATCATAGAAAGACAATTTTTTGTGAACAAAGCTAATTTCATATTTTTGCGTAAACTTAAAGACTGTAAACATTTGTCAACATTTAGTACTTGTTTTATATCTCATTATTGTACATTGTAAAAATACTTTGAACTTGTAGTATCTTAAGTAAAAATGATGGTCAAGCACCAGGTTTTGTTTGAATGGCAGCTGTTTTGAGTGACCTTCAATAATTCTTTGTTTCCGACATCAGAGACTTTTCAATGATTTTACTGCATCTTACTTTAGAATTGTCTTTTTATTTACCAGTATCTGAATTGATTGTGCTGAGTTTTTCTGGTTGTAAAGTCTATCTTAGTCTTAGTAGACAATGAATGCATTGTTCCCTAATCCTATTAATCATTATTGTAAGCTTTATTCCTGTATTTATCTGTTTGGTTTACTTATTTCAAGATTCCAATCTACAGTTTAGAACCTCTCTTAAAATATAAAGTCTATAAAACTATTATTGGGTTTTTTTTATACTAGGGAATAGTAATGCCAGGCTAGAGAGCAGGAAAGACTAAATAATTACCCCTCTTTTAAATGAAAAAGACTCATTTAGAAAATAGGTTTATCGACTGGTTGCAGTAATTATAGGGTAAATTCTCTATAAATTACAGGTTTTAGGGACATGTGTTGCCTAGTTAACTATAGTTAAATTACTGCTCAATCCGTCTCTTTAGATCTCAACGGAATCAAACAGGAACCAAATTGATTCAACCCTCAATTACCGAAGTCAAAAAGCAGCCATTATAAAGATTGAACAATACTTGCATTGATTCTATCTCGTCATTTCTTATTAAGCAATGATTTTACTAGTCTATTTAGTTCTAATTCGATGAAACTCCATATTGAATATTGATGGTTCTGGTCTATCTATTGATTTAGATATATTAGTGTAGTTTTAACAAAAAAGGAAATACACAAGTAAAATGTTTTTTTTCTGAAAACAATTGCTGAATTGATGGTATGCTCAGTATGTAGTTTTATATAATTAGTTTCCTCCCTCTATAATACAATATTTAGACTTTGTGACCTCATAGGGTGACCCTCATGCAAAATATTAATGATTCAGCAAGTACTTGGCTTTGATAAAGCAGTGTGGTTTTAAACGGCCTTTTTGCTTGAACTTTCTCAGCATCTGTGATGAACATTTCATTTCATGTGATGATTTATCAGTTAACATATTTTTATGCATTTCATTTAAGTAATCAAACTTTGAGATATCCTCTAAAGCTAGAAACAAGCTGTGTTGAGGAAATGATCATGTGTCATGTAATCAAACCAGAATGTTAAATGCTTCATGTTGTCTTACTTATTTTAATAGCGCTTTGTATTCTTAGCAGTTCTTAACCCCTAATGTACAGTTCTTACGGTTCCAGCACAAATTTTGTTCCAGGTAACAAACACAATTGCTGAGAATGTATATTTTAACAAACAATTGCTAAAACAATTTGTGATTTAACTTTAAATGTTTTTTTATAAATAGAAAAATAACAGACAGCATGCTGATTGAAAAATTTAAAATGTACAACCCAGATAGGGCTGTTTTCAATATATATTGGTTTTCAATAAAATATAATGTGAATAGGTCTGAAAACAGCATGTGAATGTTTTAGAGAAGATAATAATTAGCTTCTCACTTCACTATCCTCTATTGATTTACATCTTTTCAATCTTTTCTTTCCACCTTTCAACAAGCAGTATGGTGTCTGTCAAAATTGTTGAGTCACTTACCAGATTAATGTAACCTTAGGGAAATTAAGAATTAAATATACTTCTCAAATATTGGCAAAACAAATTAAATTTCATGATTTTACAAGTTTTTAAATTGATTTCAATTAGCAAGGTTGTTTTATCTCCCTCTTCAGAGATTCCTAGTAGCAATTGTAAGAAAACGTAAGAAAAAACTTGATTGTATATTTTTTTGGTTCCTCTATTCTAAGAATATTTTAATGTTAGATAGATTATAGTTAATTATCTGAAACAAGATGGAGGTAAACAAATGTTTTTGTGTAAATTGTTGATATAGGAATTCAATACTTGACTAGATCATTAAACCCCAAAAAATTTCTGAAAACAAATAGATGATTCTGAGATATCAAATAAAAGGAATGATAATATGTTTTGGGTAGAATTGTAGGTCTAATTACCACAACTTAGTGCAGCCATTCTTATACTCACTATTTGACATTTAGAATATGATTTGACAAGTTCATGTACTGAAATGGAATTTAGATTAGATTGGATGACAAGATTGGCAATTTTTTTCAGTATTTTGTCTAAAATGATCTTTCCCTATTTAAATTTAATAAACTCTTAATTCAGTGATTAGTTTAAGCAGTACCATTATTTCCTTTCATTTGCTACAATTAAAATTTATCACGAAGATCTGTGAATAGAATCACAATGTATACTTTTTGTGAGAATTTTCTGTCAAAGCTAAACATACACACTAACTTCAGCAGTCTCTATAACCTTAAGGAACTTATATCATTGGCAAGATCCATCTGAAGTCTTCAACTGGTATATTTAAAAATGCTATCCAAGTTTTCAGAAATGCAGATTAAAATTTAACTTGATTAACAAGAATCAAATTTGTTGTGTTAAATTGCTTATCAAATTTGTCAATCTAAATTGAGTCGTGCGGTAAAAATAATTGAAGTTAGTTTAGCATGTTAAAGGCAGAGCCATTGGTTATTGTTGTATAACTCTTACTGTTTAGCTTTTCAGCAAAAGTGGCATATTTATGATTTCAATAATAGTATTTCCATGTTCAAGGTTTCTCAATTAAATATTTTTATCATTTCAGGAGAATGTAATTCTGGTGTATGCTTTAATGGAGGCCAGTGTAGGGGGGGTTACTCTCAGAGTTGTTCATGTCCACCAGGTTTTCAAGGTCCACGGTGCCAATACGGTAAGACTTTTATTTTAAAGGATGATGGAGAAAGGTATTTACATTAATAAGAAGCAATTAATACATTTTTTTAACATCAATATCACATAGCAGCATGTAACACTAGATATAACCACTCTTACTTAACATGCTAAAAGGGGTGTATTATAGAAAAATATGGACCCCTGGGTTGGGTGTAGAATATAAGTTTAACCAATTTAGAGCAATTTGTGGAGGAATGTGAGTAATTGTTAGTAACAATGTGGTGAAATATGGTATTATATATTGAAATGATTATATGATGAGGTGGGGCTATTAAATTTGAAAGAAACAATTTATCTCTTCAACAATAGCGTCATGTAAAATAATCTAAATACTACTAAGTGTTATATGAATATTTTAGTATGATATTTATATCTGTAATAAATGTATTTTATCATTAAAAACTGACAAATATGTCATGATTTGTGGTTTTATACGCTAAATATTTACCTTTTTGTGTGGTAATCAAAAGATATGCTAAAATTGCTTATATCAGCAGGATTTTTCAAATATCTGTTATGCAACTATTTTTTGGTTTCCTTTAATCTAAAGCTAATTAAAGGATATGAACTGGATTTATTATTACTTAAGTAGAGTTTTTGTAATCTGTTGGAACTTAATCTGCCAGATGATAGCTCATAGAAATCACGGTGCTCCTTGTGGCTTTATCTTTTGTTGATTTCCAACTGTTATCAGACTAATGCAAATGTGTGAATATATAAGCTATTCAAAGATTCTTTCTATTTCTAAAAAACAACATATCTTGAATGTATAGCTATATAATATAATCTAGCTATGTGTTAGTTACAAATTTCTTAAATTTGCTTCTTCTGCAATTTATTTATTGATACTTGTATCATGTATTTAAACAATCATGGTGTATTTTATAAATATTTAGTTTCAATCTACAAAAAAAAGCGAAATATCCCTTTAAGGATAAAATTTTTCTTAAAATTACTTGGTGACAAGCTATAGCTCTAGCTAGACATCACTGGCAAACACATTTCAATGTAACAATGCTGATTTTCATGACAAATAAAACTCTGTTATTTCCTTTACATGCTTCTATGAGCACAGTTGCAATTTCACAAATGATGTTTCAAATGTAAGAAGAGGTTGTATTATAAAGTCTAGATAATAATACACAGGGAGGTGTAGCTTTGTCAGTTGTCATTAGATAATAATAATAATATAATCTAGTTTATGTCATCACTGACATATTAAACTGACATATTTATTATATTTTACTAATAGAACATGAAATTAATACCTTACATTGGAATGTTGTATATTAAAAATAATCTTTGTGCTGAATATTACACATATTCACATTTATATATAAAAAATTGATAAGAAATTGAGGAAAATAAGAGCTAAGGAGATAAACTAAAATTTTGTTTTGAAAAGTGTGGAGGGGGGGTACACTCCACAAAACCACACATTTAAATGTCAATTAAAATACTATATTGTGCAAAGACTTTGGTTTTGAAGAATTCTGTCTACAACTGATCCTCAGCCAAATCTATTGCCAATAATTGTTTCTGCATCCTTTTTACAATTCAGTCAACAGGAGTAATGAGGAAAGATCACTATTTCAAAATCACCAGAGTTCGGGATCAAGCCAACAGATAAGTCTATAATCACCATTGTTTGACTATATAAGCAGATATATGATTAACCAGGATGGGCGGCAGTCTGTTCATATAATGATCAAGAGAATTTTTCTGACATGATGGAAATGGAAGACTTTTTTTATGCTTTTTTTTTATAAAACTTCTTACCAGACAAGGATTATGTGTATTCAGGAGTTTTGATTTGAGGAATTAAAATGGTTTATAACACTGCTGTATTAATGAAGTCTGTATATATCTATATAGGTTATGCTCAATATATCTTTATTTGTTGTATTTTTACATTTTTATACACCCACATGGAAATGTGGACGTATATTGCTGTTGCCCCTGTCAGTCGGTCCATCAACATTTCTTCTGATTTTAATGAAACTTGATGTGATAATGTATATTGATGAGATCTTGATTCAAATTTGACGATTTTTCGATGAACTGTTTTTGAATTATTGCCCATGACTTAGGAAAAACGCGTCAAAATTTGTTTGTGAACAAAATAGAGACTACAGTTTTCAACTGATTTTAAATTTGGTGTGATCTTGGACAAGTTTGAACTTGATGAACGGTTTTTGAGTTATAGCCCTTGCCATGCTTCAAAATTTGTTCATGAACACAATAGAGACTACAGATTTTATGTGATTTTTATGATGAATGAAATGAAATGAATGAAGTTTTACATCTTTTTATTTATATTGATGAGATCTTGGTCAACTTTGAATTTTCGTCGATTTCACTACAATTTTTTGCCCTTGATATTAGAGCTGTGTGATTTAATTGTTTGTTGTATTTGGGTTATTGATATTGATTTTAAAAAATTTTGTGGAATTACTCAGCATAAATAACTGGCAGTAAATATATATATCATTGAATTCAAACTATTAAAATTTCTTTAATATGAGAAAATTTGAACTTTAGTCGCTAAAGACTGTTTTATCATATCTGACAGCTGCCAGTGGTCGTATGTTACCTTGCCTGGCAAGCTATCTTTTATCATGTAGAAGAAATCTTCAACTGGGACTTTAACCTTAAAGTTACCAAGCACTAGGTTTACAATAGTTCTATTAACTTTTAAGTACAAAGTTTTAAAATATGTAAGAAAATTTCAAGGTGGAATTTAAAAGAAAATTATGATTTAGTTGAAATTGAATTGAATTCAAACACCATATTAAATTCTATAATTTTCTGGCTAACTTCCTTTCTAAGTCACTGGAATAGTTTTCCTTTTTTCTTCAATATAAAGTAAAAGTATTTGAGATAAAGATAGTGATAAAATAACTGACATATGTAAACTGTCTGATTTCATGTTTAACTTTTCCTCACTTATAAATCATGTTTTTATCAACAGACAAAAATAAACCTACCAATTCACCATTTAAAATTTTTGCTTTTAATCAAATGAATTGCTACTGCCTGCACCGAAGCCAACTGAAATTTAATGCAAAAAACATTGAGATACTTTTTTTATAGGGTTACTTATAGGTAAATTATGCTATAGTTTGCTGTGGCATCAAAATTGTTCGTTCTTACCTTGAGGATGATTCATACCCATAGCACTAAAGTGAAATCCATTATTGGGAAAATCTTAAATCTCAAATCATGAAAAACTTTTGACTTGAGTTGAAATATTATAAGAAATGAAGGGATATACATTATACTATCTGAGTTAAAATTAAGATGTTTGTAATATGTGAAAGTCATGTCTGTAAATCATACTGTGTTATGTATAAGATTTTATTACTTTTAATTTTTAAAATGAGTATCTTTGATGCCCAGCAAAAGGTATGCAATATATTTTTCTGATTGAAATGATAAGCCAACTATGAATAAAATGTTTCAAAGTAATAAATTATTTTTTGCATTTTACTTCTTTTAAAAACTTTAATGTAATTTTATTATGTTCAGCGATAGAAAGATTTCAATCAAGCATGCAAGATTCAGTTCAACACGGTTACATATAGAGTTCATGTTTGCTATGAAAATTTACAAAATTTTGCATTGTTATTGTTTGTAATCAGTAGCAAGCCAAGTGCAGAACATTTTCTAAACACATAACTATTTATTGGAGAGAAGACATTTGTGTAACTTAGCCGCTTTGTAGTTAAATAATTTAGTAAAACAACTTCTATTTTATCTATGGGTACCAAACATGGTATTTGAAATGGAAAAATACTTAGTGAATTTTTAATTTTTCAGTGGTTTCAGAATTTTTACTATCATGTAAAATCGATTTTAAACATTTTTATGTCGGTGGTATTGAGTATATACCTGACTAAAAAACATCAAACAACATAAAAACACACTGAAATAAGTCACAACATGTTTTCAATTAACATAACATTGTATATTACTAAACCATTTTTTTGTAAAATGTGAGTCTTTTCTGGTTTTTCTACCAAACTTACACAATTTAAGACATCTATATTTACCCAACTAATTACCTCACTTATTATTATATGTTCATTAATAACACAGTGTATAAAGGATAGGCTGGTAAACAATAGTTTCCAGGAATATTTCTGTGAGCTGAGGCACATCCAAATTCAAAATGTTATTGAATGGGACTATTTTACAAATTATGTGGATCTTTTTCAAAATCTTCACCCATATTTGTTTCTTTTTCTTGTGGATTAATTCTCCATGTTTATCTAGGAATAAAGGATTATTCACTGCTACAACATTCAGCTGTTGATGCATCCACATCTCTAACAGGAAATTAGGATTGCCAACTAAGATGGCCCAGATTGGCCAACACCCAGTAATAAATTTAAATCGTGTCAGTAGAGTATTATTACCAGAAATAAAAAACATATATGAGAGATAGTTTTGTACTCAGAAATCATTGAGAAGATTAAGTATTTAAGTAAGAAGTTGGAAGTATCTATGAAGTGTCTCTATTCAGTCCATTCATTTTGTACCTATCATAACCTGTAGGTTTTCATGGTACACTACAGTTGTAGAACCTGACGTAACTGAGTCGTTTACACTTGCTGATCTTTTTTCTTCATTAAATCTTCTATTAATTAACCACACATTTTTTCATTTTAAATTTAATTTGAAACAGAGCTTTACTTCTGAATTCAAAATGTTGCTTAATTTTTTCCATATTGCCATATATATATTTTTATCTCTAGAGCAGACACATGCACTTTGGATTGTGATTATGTTTGCAAATTTAAGAAGATATATTTTAAGTATAATGAGCTAGGAGTAATCAAGCCACACCAATACTTCACTTTTCAAAGGAATGTTTTAACATTCACATGAGAGTTATTACAGATACAAGTCATTTAAAATCTTCTTAGTGCAGAATTCTGTTTGAGTTCAAGATTATGATAAGATATTTGACTGTTC